TTGGATATACAGTCTGTCCAAGATAAGGTTGAACAGCATGGGGATCTCGGAAACAGTAGGAGATACGAAGTCGTTTGAATGGGGAAAAAGTTGCGCATTCGGAGGCTCATATCGAGAGCCTTCGAAAATTCTCAAAATTATTTCTAGTTTTTGAGTTGTATCGAGAAAAGTGAATTTTTGGAATATCTTTTTTTTTTCTCCGTCATTATTAGAGACACAGAAGAACTGAAAATACTTTTTCGTAGCAACTTTTGATGACATTCAACGTGGTGATACCGATTTTTTCATGCGACGTTTCGTATCTGTAGAACCATCCTCAACTTTTGTTTTTTAAATACGGTCCTGATAATTTTTTCACAGATTCTGGAGGGTTTTATTATTCTGAATTCAACCATATATTATACAAGGTGATTCGAATGTGTTTCGACCTATTTCTATCCATCATTAATGTTTTTTCGAAATTCCAAAAGAAAAGTGCCATCAGTTCCAATTATTTAATACTGAGAAGTGAATAAAAAATGTTTCACTACATCATTCAATGCAGCGCTTAAAATTGTTGTTGAATTCTTACACGAATTACTTTAACAACTTAACTTTGACAATACCTACAGAAACATTCATAACAAATGTTTAAAATGATAACCATTATTTTCTGAACAAAGATATCCTCTCCTCACAGTTGCTTCTAAGACATCACTAAGTATTTTTGCCTGGGGTTATTTTATTGAATGCTTCGATGACACTGTCCCTTAGTTCTTCTTCTCATCAAAGTTATTTGCGTATACAAAGTTTTTGGTATACCCCTTAAGAAAAAATCCAGCTGTGTCAAATCAGGCGACCGCGCCGGCCAAGGGACTGTAGAATGAGTACCAATCCATTTTTCTGGATAAAAACGCACGGACTTCTCTAGAATTATGTACCGGATCTTGTTGAAACCAACAGTTCTGAACTTCCACAATCGGTAAATCATCCAGAGCTTCCACAAGATGATTCTCAAGCAAATTTCTATAACGTTCGGAAGTCTGTGTTTCATTGTAATAAAAAGATCAATAATTCGTATACCAAATATTGCAACCCACATATTAAAGCCGAAACGGTGTTGGTGTCTAGGTGTAATGTATACATGTTCATTTTCTCGTGAACAGTAATGTGTATTTTTTCTATCGAAGATACCATGATTAGTGACCATGCTTTCATCAGTCCAGATGATTGTTCGAGGGATATCTGCAGAATTTTGACATTTCTTGCTAAACCACTCATAGAATGTCCTGCGCCTTTCGTCATCGCCTGGTTTTAGCGCTTGACATATTCTGAATTTGTATGGATGGAATTTTTGTTTCCACAAAATGAAATGGGTTGTTGATTGAAACCAGTTGATGATGTATTAGTGTGTTGACTAATTTTCCTTCAAAATAAGTGGAACTGATGGCATTTTTCCTTTGGAATTTCGAAAAAAACATTGATGATGGCTAAAAATAGGTCGAAACACACATAAACCACCTTGTATAATACATGGTACCCTGTATACATTATACGAGCTGTGGACTATTACAGAATTCTATTGGTCTGATTAGTTTTAAGAATTTGAGTCCTATAGCGGTAGTATATTATTATATTGGCACAATATGGCACATCCTGATTGTATAAGTACTTGTTTTTTCCCATTGACGGTTTATCAGTGGATTATATTTTACCGGATGTTGTCTCATTACTCATCAATCTTTGAGTAAATATTCGTTGGCAATAATCCTATTCTTGTAATTATTTATTTATGTATTTATTTATTCACGAGAAATATAATTTGCCTCTTCGAAGTCAGTTAAATATTATACGTCAGCGCTATATTTTTTATTTATTTTTTTTTATTTATTCCGGTTATCCTCGTCCCAATCGCCCTGTATAAATTTGTTTCTTTGTCGCGTGGTATAAATTTCATATGAACTGTTGATACTAAACCGTTAAGTGTAAATATGAACAGGCTATAATGTCTTCAAGGTTTTGATGTAGCTGCTCACATTGTAGATACTAATTAAAAGTGAATAATACACAATCATTCTATATGTATTTTTTGCACGTGACTTTAGACAAAAATAATCGACACAGTATCTATATAAATCGTAAAAAGACTAATTAGATCAACCAATGAATGATAATGATTTTAACATTACTTTAACTGAACACCAGAGTGTTTCAGGAAATAGCCAATAAAAAATTATCACCCACAGCTAAATACCTCGAAAACAATTTATGTTTTATTATAACATATTTTCGTTGTAGTTGTAATTTTAGTTCATCGTAGTAGATACCCAAGGATTATAGGACTGTAGGGATACCTATTTATGCCTTATGGTGATGATAGAGAAAAACTATGTGCCATTTTATTTTGATATTTTGATGGAGGTACAGAGAGAGCTACTAAAGGGACAATCAATGACCTATGGGATGATCGTCAGTAATATACAGGGTGTTTCTTAAGTACGTGTAGAAAATTCAGGAGCATGTTGCTGACGTCAAAATAAGAAGAAAAATTGGTATTAATATATGTCCGAAAGTTATTCGTTTCTGAGATACAGAGTGTCAAAGTTACACTTTTGTGTAAAAAATATATTCTTGGTAGAGGTCGCTGCGAGCAACTGTTTTCGAGTTATTGGGATTTGAAATAATTGATACATTTGAATTATTTCCATGAGAGCTTCTATGAGACTAGCGTGAGTCGCCTCTGAGTTGTAAACATCAGAAAAGGTACACCAGTGCAATTATTTTCTTCTTTCATTCAATATTCTCCTACATCATAGATTAAATGCCTACATTCAACATTGGAATGTGGGCTAAATATGATTGTTTCTTCTTACCTACATTTAAAAAAATAACAATCAAGTGAGTAGTTACTTGTCATGTTATTTCAATCCGTTCTTGTGACAGTGAAGTTTGTTGTCTTCTGTACTTTTGGTCAAGCTTCCTCAAATGACAGTATACATGAATAGCAAAATGGCTAATATGATATGCATCACATATGCATATACGGCCTTGCCGATGGCAATTGCTACGAAGCTAGACGTATTTATAATAAAAGAATCCCTATGATTCCCTAATCATCGACTGCCGAATCACCAGACATTCAGAAACCTTTTTCAGTAGTTCTAATTTGGTCCTAATTACTGTTATTATTAGGTATTATAGTATTAAATTAAATTCTAATAACACCCGATTCCTATTTTAAAATGAGAAATTAAAGAAAAATAATGTCTGAATCGATTTTGAATTCCAACTTCTTGTTGTCATTCCAACATACTTGCATTGATTATTTCAAATCCCAATAACTCGAAAACAGTTGCTCGCAGCGACCTCTATCAGGAATATATTTTTTACACAAAAGTGTTCTAGAAATGTATTTTTCTACAATCAAACGTGATACAGGTACGCACAAAAGAGTTATGACTTTTCAAAAGACTCAAAAGTCATGTAGGTGGCGCCACCCCCACGAAAGAGACAAACTAACATAAACTTTGATATTGTCATTGGAGAATACCCCTAGATACCGAACTTTATCCGAATATCACAATTACTTTGAAATTTATTAACAAAAAACAAATATAAGAATTCAACTTTGACACTCTATATCTCAAAAACGAATAACTTTCAGACATATACTTATACGAACTTTCCTTCTTATTTTGACGTCAGCAACATGCTCCTGAATTTTCTACACGTACTTAAGAAACACCCTGTTTACTGCTCGCCAGTAGTCAACCTATCTTGCCTCCTAATATAATTTTACGGAAATATCGGTGATGCCATGAGTACTGCCGAGCAGTCTATATCACTGAAGATAACCCAATTTGTTCATTGAGGGTCTCTTTTAGGTAGCTGTCTCGTTCCTGCGAATTTCAGAAGATCCAGCAGAAGTGATGGACACACTGCCCCACTAAGCAGAGTAATATTGCCACAAATGAGGGGATATTTTATGTCAAATTTCAATATTCTCATGAAATCATATCGGTCCGAAGTCATTGAACGGTCACGTCAATGTTTATTAATCCCAAATCATTAAACCACGAACTATCGACTAGTATTTGAACATAAACACAGGCGTGGCAATGACTCCAACGAACCAGGAATATCCACCTGACTTCCTCACTGTCACGTTTCCAAAAATATAGATTGAACAGATAAAAGGCGCGAGGAAGCCAGCACAGGTATCATTCGATCATTCAATCATTCGATCATTTGACTCGATCAATCATTTGATTCAGTCAGTAACCCCTGTGCCCGAACCGTCGGGGTTCGGGACAGAAGAGGAGATGACCTTCCTCAAGGCTCTCAGCAATATTAGCTTCCTATAATGTACGGGGTGTACCACTAAGAAAGGGCGCCGGCTGTATTTGCCGCACAGGTTTCGGAAAAAAATATTCATGATAAAAGGACAGGACAGCCGCTAGAGGGCATAATTGCATTGGCCAATTTAAAACACGGGTTCTTATGAAAATTTGATATATCAAGACATATCAGAAACACTTTTTCCATGTTCTCGAGTAGATTTCCAATCATTTCGATCGAAAAAAATTGCGCTAGCTCTTCAAATAAAAGGGGGAGGGAAGGATGAATAGTACTCTGGAAAAACTCTTATTACTACAGTTTGGTGTAACGGAATTAGGCGATCTTGGTCTCATTATGAAGGGTTTCTTCAGATCTTCCTGATAAATCACGAATCAAGTCGAATTAAATCCCGTGGTGGCCGCTAGATGGCATCGTTTGAAATGTCAGCCGATTTGCCTTTTTTTTTCGAGAATTTCAAATGGAACCATATATTTTTTCTGCTATGATATGAAAGTGAAGTGAACGAGAAGAAAAATGGTAAAAACCGCGAGTTGATACCTCTTCCTAAATGTAATAGTCAAGCACTAGTGCTTTTATCAATATTATGTTATTTTAATTTTTGTGGAAAATAAAAACTCATCCTTGTGGTATTATTTTTGATTAATTCTTGCTTTTGTTTACAGAATATTCGTCAATAGGAGTTTGCATCTGGAGAACATCAAGTTCTATGGCTTCGATATGGACTATACATTAGCAGGTAACTTAACATATAGGGTGGCCCTTTGCAAAACGAAACAGAGGCTCTGTAGGTCGACAAAACCAGATTATGAAAAAAAAGTTGTAACACGTCAACTACATTTTCGAGGGGGACATCCTTAATTATTTTCGGCTTTGCGGTGTTGCCGCTTCTAACAAAAAGTAGCAACAACTTTGATATTTCAAATGGAACACACTGCATTTCATTTCATTTTCAGATTCTCCCCAAAGAGCTGATCTCATCAATGCATCACACTTGTGATCTAGCGGCAATGATTACAGAGCTATAGGGTGTTCAAAATCTCGATTTTTCAGCTTCAGTATTTTTTGTGTCGATTTACTATCTACTGACATTTAATCGGAACAGATACAGGGTGATCAGACGAATTCTGAATCTTGAACCACCCTGTATTTGTTCCAATTAAATGTCAGTAGATAGTGAATCGAAATTCGAGATAGGGTCATATGAGCCGCTTTGACCAATGATGAATAGTTTCGACACAAAAAAATCCTAAAGATGAAAAATATCGATTTTGAACACCCTATAGCTCTGTTATCATTGCCGCTAGATCTCAAGTGTGATGCATTGATGAAATCAGCTCTTTGGGGAGAATCTAAAAATGCAATGAAATACAGGGTGTTCCGTTTGAAATAACAAAGTTGTTGCTACTTTTCGTTAGGAGCGGCAACGCCGCAGAGCTAAAAATAATTTAGAACGATGTCTCCCTCGAAAATGTGGTTGACGTGTTTCAGATTTTTTTCATAATCCGGTTTTGGCGACCTACAGAGCCTCTGTTTCGTTTTCAAAGGCCACCCTGCAATTATTTTCATTCACTGAAGTCAAAATTTATTCCAGAGTATAAGTCACCTGAATATGAAATACTTGGTTTCGACTTGGTGAAACAGCATATGGTGTCCATAGGATATCCTCAAGAAATTTTGGAATTCGAATATGACCCAACTTTCGCAGTGAGGTATGTCTTTTCTCTATGTATGATAATATGATTCATATTTTTTTTTTCAATTCTGAACATATTGGTGAGTTATATTTTTATGGCATGATACATCATATTATTTTATTCGATTTGAGAGGTAATGTCAATTCTCAATTTCAGAGGATATCCATTTTTCATAATCTCTTTTTGGATATTCAACAGATATAATTAAATGTTCGACGTGGCAAATAGCCAGGAAAGTAGTTGTTTTTGTTGAATAAACCGAGAAAGAATTGATAAAGTAATGCACAAAATTCATAAAACGTACAGTGAGGCTCAAATTAAAAGTAACGACTTCTGTGAAAATCCCTTTAAAATTTCAGTTTATGCACCCAGACTAATATCTATTCCAACCGACCGCTGTTTCAATCACTTATTTCTTATGGTGAGTTGTGGTACGAGATAGTCAGATATCTGAATATTTCTAAGATTTGGGGTTAATATTCACATCCCTAGAGTAATATTTTATGCTTCATCTTATGAAGCTGACTCATGGTTATTCATTGTTTGATTCTAGTTGTTTCTATGGATTGAAAGATATAGTTGAAGTACTTCTTGAATAAAGCGGCATCGGTATAATTAAATTTTTTTTAAATTGAAGTTTGTGGTTAGTGTATCCTCCAATTATTTTTCCCATGAAATCATATTCCTTAATCGTTCTTAAGAGTTATTTTTCTCTGAATACCTATTTTTGATATAAGAACTAATAATTCTCATCAGCATGTGCGATATGAAAACGGTATACACATAATTATCTTGAAACGCGAATATCTACCTACTTCCAGAAATTTTATTTTCAAAGTATAATACTTGAGCTTCGATAAATCGTGCAGATAAATTTGAAAAACAGGGTTATTGATCGATTTGATAAAGTTCAGTGTCTCCCATGTCCGTTAATCACAAAAATATTACTTTTTCAGAACAGTGTTGTGTCATCAATTTGATATCTCAAAGGACATAGGAGATACTGAACCGAACCGAATAAGTAGACAATATTTCATGATGCATGATTCTATACCTAGAAAATAATGACGGATTCTCATTCAAGATCACTCGGAACATACCTGTACTAATTTTCATCATCATAAAATACAGGGTGTCCGAATTTTTTTGTTTATTATTTTTTGGTTGATGAAAAAATTGCCTACCCACCCTTTTTGTTTTCTCAGACACATTGCATATTTGAATGATAATAATCGGGGCTGATATGTTAGAAGTAGTCCTAAATATCCATTTGACATTAGTTCTTCCCAAACATACCACAATACTACATTTTCTGATCAAGTATACAAAAAATATATCTATTAATCCGATTTTTCGGACACTCTTTGTTTTATGATGATGAAAATCGGTACAGGGTTACATTGAGTGATCTAGGTTCAGAATCTATCATTAGTTTTAGTGAAAAAATAAAATCCCCAGTAGTAATTTACGAAATATGGGTCAATAAAATTGGTCGCAGTTGATGGCCACGATAACAGTCCAAGAATTAAATCACTTTTTTTGTTTGATGAATATTTCAAATACCTATACAAAAAAAAAGTTTTTCGAAATCGATCAGATAAGATAATACGGATTTTACAGGCGGTGGTAAAGTTCTTAAAGTGGACACACTGTATATATAGCACGTGGTCACAGAACATGACATGCAGTGCACTGTTAAATACCAGAATGTTTGATGTGTATTTTTGACTTTTTTTTCAATATAAATAAATAAATTTATTAAATCCTTCATGATCAAAAAATAATACCTTATAATTATAGCCGAGTAAAATAACTATAGAAGTTTTCCACTTATCGATATTTCTTTGTGCTTATATATTCAACAGTATAAAATGTTATTATGGTTTTGAAATCTATGATCTGCATGCTGATAATAATCACACTGTAGATATCCTTGTTTATGAAATTCATATTTCCACTCAAAGGAGCATTTTATGTGAACCAGTTCTCCTTTGTAAGAAATCAAGAGTTTCAGTGTTTCAGTTTGAAAGAAAATCATTTTCAAAAATATTCTCAAAAATCGTTATTACTCTGAAACAGTTGAAAATAGTAATGAATTACCTTATATATTTTATGGTTTATATCAGAGTAATATGTAGAATGAATAATGGAAAAAAAAAGTGGTGTTCTATTGGAAATAAGGGAATTCTATTTTCTTTCCGTATTCGTAAGTGCGCTATGCCAGATTCATCCTCGGATTTACCCAAAAATTTTCAGAGTTTTATTCAACTCAGCATAATATTGAAAATGAATGGGTTACCTGAATGAACGTGAAATCATAAAATTCAGTACTATATCTTTATTGTTTCATTACAATTTTATCGATCTTTTTCTCCTGGTTATACAAAGTGTAATTCAATTGATGGTTAGAAATATAGGATGTAGACATTTTAAGAAAAGTTCATATGAACATAATATATGCCCTGAACCTCTTAACTTTAAAGCAATAGGGTGTTGAAATTTTAAGAAAAAAAATTTCTTATAGTAACTTTGATACTGTTCTAGATATTCTCATAAAATTTGACATGCACCTACTAAGCACTGATGGCCAGTTCGTGTCCGTATGGGATGTAAATACTGGAGATTTTTCTAAAAAATAAATGCAATTCTCATTCCTTTTGCAATAATTTGAGTTACATATTTGAAAATGATGAAACCATTTTGGCAAATTCAATCAACGACTTCACTTCAATAGAAATTAGACAAAAACACATCTTACCTACGAACTACACCACATTGCTTCAGTTGGTGCATGTCAAATTTCATGAGAATGTCTAGAATAGTATGTCGAAGTTATCATTAGAAAATGCTTATTTTCATAAAAATTCCAACACCCTATAGCTCGGAAGTTGAGAGGTTTCGGGCATATGTTCATATCAACTTTTCTTCTCAAAATGCGCTGAGGAACCATGTCCTATATTTTTAGCCATAAATTGAACTACACCCTGTATAGTTGACTTCTGAGGGTTGCTCGTAAGGGGGCAACCGAATGACGGTTAGAACAATTTTAGAACAATTTTAGAATTTTTTAGAACAATAGTTTGAAAATAAATCCCTTCATTCCAATAAGATTGGATTCTAGTTATAATTAATTATATTATATCGTTCTCAACAAAACTGAATCAAAGTGAAGCAGTCCAGATAAATTCCTATATATTTCATTGTAGTTGCCAAAGAAGAACTCTGTCATTGTTATTTTTCACGTTCGAATAATTATTATTATAACACCTCTAGGTATACCGCTAGGTATACCCTCTAATCTAATACCTTTACAGCGCGAACCAGGTCATAAAATGCTAATGAGGGAAACGGTTCGTTCCTAGGCAATGAATAGTACATGTGCATAGACAAAAATATTTCAATTCGACCAAGAGTCGATACTTTTAATTTGAGCACCACTGTACAACGATCACTTTTGAAAAAAATGCAAAAACACGTTCTTTTTATTCCGCATCTTTTGATATAAGTTACAAAAATAACACGTCAAAGTTGTCAAAGTTATGACGCCATCAACAAATTTTTTTAATGGGAAGCTAAGATTTTTATTACATTATGTGAGCCCTACTGCAACTATTTTTCCCTTGTGTAAAAACACAAGCTCTATCACATAATGTAATAAAAATCTTAGCTTCCCATTAAAAAAATTTTTTGATGACGTCATAACTTTGACAACTTTGACGTGTTATTTTTGTAACTTATGTCAAAAGATGCGGAATAAAAAAACAGTTTGATGTGTTTTTGCATTTTTTTCAAAAGTGATCGTACGTTTTATGAATTTTGTGCATTACTTTATCATAACCCTGTACATTTCAGTGTGCAACATATGGGAATCCTTTTGATGAATTGCACAACCAGAATACAGATAGTGCCAAAAGTTGGTGCATGTTCGGTAATCATTTTAGGTGCACTTAGAATGATTGCAAGTCACACAGCATACAGGGTAGGTCAAAAAATATAAAAATTGCTAAGAGTAAAGTACCCTCATTTCAGCCAATTCAGCAAAATGTTATTGAGAAAAGTAGTTAACAATAGAAAATTATGCCTAAATACCAAAACATGGCCTCCTAAGACATTTTTTAGTTTTTCAATTTTGTTCGTGAATAATTTTCCAACTTTCGGCACTATCTGTATTTTGGTAGTGCAATTCATTAAAAAGATTCCTATATGTTGCACACTCAAGTGACCACACTGTATAGAGAAAAGTGCACAAAGAACGGCCAGGACTGCAAATTTTGAATAATTCGAGATATGTTTTTGAAAATTGGTGGGCAGCTGGTATACCAAATTGATCATCAATTGACGAAACCATTTACTTCCGGTTTTACTTGAAAGGACCCCAACTTCTGATTTTTAAATTAGACACCCTGTATTGTATTCCATAATCGGTTAGGGATTGTCATTACGAATTTATCGATACCAGGTTTGATAGGGTTATTTCAAACGATTACGCAGATATTCGCGTTCGAAGTTTCCATATGCTCAATGAGTGTGACAGAGAAAGAAGTTTTGATGTTGCGAAGTCACACCCATTGAGCATATGGAAACTTCGAACGCAAATATCTTTGTAATTGTTTGAAATAACCCTATCAAAATCGGTATCGTTGAATTCGTCATGATAATCCCTAACCGATTATGAAATACAATACAGGGTGTCCCATTTGAAAATCGAAAGTTGGTGTCGTTTCCGGTGAAACTGGAAGTGATCGAAGAAAAATTGTTTCATCAATTCATGAGCAATTTACCCACCAATTTTCAAAACACTATCCAGAATAATTCAAAAGTTACAATCCTGGCTGTATATATCCATTTTTTAATGTTCATAATTATATCTGAGAATATCTCTTTTCAATATGATTCATCACGTTCGATAAATTTTAAATATATTCGCTTTTTATCTTGCTGAAATCAAAATTGTTTCATTTCAGTGTCAGCTCCGAAATGTTTTAGGTATTCTAGATTTCATCGAATGTATCTATTTTGGGTAATTTATTGACATTGATAAGCTGTACTCGGTATCGATCATTTGCAAATGGCTGTATATTGATTGCGTGAATATCTCAACAAGATTACAAAACGCGATAATGGGTTTATTCAAATTATGAGAGAATGTTTATTTAATTGATCTGTCGTATTTACTGTAATGTATTATCTTTCTATTATTGGAAGTATTACTGTAGAACTGTCGTTTCCTAATGAGAATTTTCGGAAAACATTCCTGTAATGATGGTAACGATCATGTAATGTGAAAAATTTGTTACATTAGCCCATTCAGTATTTTGTCACTATCATGACTTGTGTACTTAGAGATTACTCATACTTAGTAGAAATTCGTAATCTTTGTAGATAGTTGAATATAATAAGGATTTCATTGCTGCTAACTGGACTTTGGATGCAATAAAACAATCAAATTTTAGTTCAAATAAAATCATCAACAATGTTTCGAGGAATCGTCATTGATATTATTTCTAAGTAGATGAAAAACAAGATGTTGAGCATTCGTAATTTTATTTTTTTATTATCGCTTTTATTTTGAAATACGTTTTTGTCGTTAAGTTTTGCTTTAAAAAATACGAAAAATTAACTACTCTTGGGGTCACGTGCCTGTGACTGTGACTGTAGCTTTTTTAAATTAATGGCTGGAAATAGGCTTATTTTTTTTTCATTTCAAAAAAGTTTACAAAGAAAAAGTTTTTCTTTTCCGATTTTACATAAATGTGTTTCAGTTTTTGATACTTTTTTCCTTTTCTCCGAAATGTCTATTCCATTCTAGTAGCTTTATCATGCTACTAACTTCCAATCACTGATTATCGACAAAAATATGATTTTCTTCAGAAAATACTAATTCCCGCTTCAAATTTCTGTTATGTTTGATGCAAAGTTGATCTATCGTCTAGCATTCAGGAGCGAAATTTATTCAAATGGATTTTTCCAGTACTGAAATGATGCCAAGGTCACCTATCAAAATATCATCAAGCTACTTTACGTATCTCACCGAAGTTTAGGACAGTTTTGTCGAAGTTACAATTATTAGAAGAAATCAAAAAATATCAAGAGCTAACAGTTGCAATAGAACGTTCGGATGCGAGACACATGTGTAAAATTTGAACAGAAACAAATTTTCCTAGTAAACTCTGACCGAGTAGGCTATTTTTCTCAACGCCCAAGTCGGAATTTCGAAATAAATTATTATTAAAAGTTTTTTCCATATGAAGCCGACTTTATGAATGACACTGTATACGGTGTTTCTAAATATCATGTACTTATGGTGGCTTATTCAAGGATGAAACATCCGAGATACAGGATGTTGAAACTAAGAATAAAACGTGTTATTTTTTTCTATCACTAAAAAACCTCAATGAAAATTCAAAAAAAATTATTGTTGATCATGGAGTATCTAGATAGCAAATTAGTACATCATGGAGTCAGCTGATATAAATTCCAGTTGTGCTCTTAGGTCTCACCATTGTGTTTTTTTGGACATTTTCACAGTATCACGCAAAAAGTTCTTTTATCGAGATTTTTGGGAATTAAAAAATAAATAAGGAATCCTGGTGAGAAACGTAGAATCTCAAGACTTAGATATTCTTGTCAGCTGATGCAAGACAGACTGTTTCGGCTTGCAAAGCCTCATCAGTTGCACTAGGCCATCTGACAATCTGTTACGTAGGAGAGTCCAGAATATCGACCGATAATGATAATGTGTTTATACAAACATAGCCTGAAGATCCTTTCCTTGAATATTATGGAGGTGTACAGGGTGTACCAAATTGGACACTTTCAAAGGGACAGTCCAAATGGAAGAAAACTGATGTTGGTGCCTGAGGATCGATTCTCATGGAAAAAACGATGGTGAAATCCGCATATCGATATCTGTCTTCGTTTCGGAGTTACAAGGTGTTTTTCTTCGAAAATGGGCATTGTTGGAAAGTGGCTATAGATATTTTTTTGGCAGAAATTGTCTGTTCCTATGAAAATGACTGCAAAGCATTGAGTTTGTGATAAAAATTGTTCTCGATGCACTGAAATCGACCTTCCAATACCTAGTTCAAGAATATAACTTGTTTTCCTTGAAAAAAAAGTTCTATCCCTAACAACACCAGTACATCCTAGGGACTTCCCAGGGACGTCCCTGATTTTATACTAGGACATCCCAGGGATGTCCGTTGTCGGGACAACGTACATACTAGGGATGTCCGTTGTCGGGACAACGTACATACTAGGGATGTCCCAGGGACATCCGCTGGCCGCCAAAAAAGGCATCCAAGGGATGTCCTTCTGGTACGTCCCTGGGATGTACCAAGTACGAGAAAAGGATATCCCAGGGACATCCCTTCGAGAAAAGAAAAAAAAAAAGTAGGTCTAGTAGGGATTGAACCCGGGACCTTCAGGCTCCATTGGCTATTATGCCTCCTGAAGAATTATGTACTAAACAGATTTATAAACAGGTCCTAACTACAGAAACCTGAATAAATACAACTTTGTTAGGATTTGGGTATATTTATTATCATTCTTGGGGCATTATGCATGTACGATTTCTGTTTGCAAAAAATGGTCATTTCTTGAGAAGTTCTGAGACTTTATTCTTCATTTTCCGGAAGAAAGACAAACATTTTCAAAAAAATTCAACTCAATAGTTTGATGAAATTCAATGACTCTGGTGTGAATGGATATCAGATATTCCAGGGACACGAATAGGATAACCTAGAGATGTACCAGGCAGGGTGTCCACTGGACAACCACTGCGGGATATCCCCTGGATGCCCCAATCATGTCTTTGTACCGCGGGACAAAAAAGGGACGTACCTAGGACATCCCTGTGTTGTTAGGGATTATGCAACTAGGTATATGGTGACTGATTTAGGTGCCTGAGAATCAATTTTCATGACAAACACAATGAATTTGTGGCAAAAAAAAGAGTTTTAGCAACTTTAAAAAATTCACATTTTTGAAAAACACCTTGTAACTCTGAAATAAAGATAGATATCGATATGCGGTTTTCAACTTTGAATTTTTTATGTGAATTTGATCAACAGGCACCGATATCACGTTTTTCTATATCTTGTACAGGAATAGGACTTCACCTTTAAAAGTGCTCAATTTGGCCCACCCTGTACAATGAAAATTGTATTTATGCGCCTACCGAGCAATGAAAAATGTCCCTAATTCTTTGGACCTGTGAAATTTTTCAATATTTGATATCAGATTAGTGAATTTGGAATTCCTAAAGAACGAATACAAGTTTGACAACGCCTTGAGTAGTTTTTTTCATTATTTCAAGGTGCCCAATAAAATACCTTATTTTCCGAAGTCAAAAATATTTGAAATCTATTTTTCTAAAACCAACTATGGAGAATTTTCATGTTACTAAATATTTAATAATTTGTTTATTATACTTTGATTTACAGGGGCCTATGGTTTGACACATTTTATGGTAATTTATTGAAAGTGGATGCCTATGGAAATATTTTAGTATGCGTCCATGGTTTCGAATTTATAAAGCAGTAAGTAGAAATTTAAATATATTCTATTGTCAAAATGGTGGCCATATGAAAACAAAGTTGCATCATATGGCCAATTTTGTGGAAATGACTTTTAGTCCAATAAATAAAGGGAAAAAGTTAACATTAATTACGCACTATTTTCATCTTCCGGTTGGAAGTAGCTTCTGGTACCTCATTAAACTTGAGACAAAGTTTGACTGGAAAACGCGTGCGATGGCGGAGAAAATGACCCCAAAAGACCAGAAAGATAGGTTTTCAGCCAATATCTCCTAAAATATGGCAGTTAGAGATTTTCGGTTCAGATAAAAATTGAAGTTCAGTTAATTTTCTACAAAAATGTCCTCATCATTTTTCTCGAAAATTTGCCCGGTTTCGAGAAAAACGGTACGAAGCGCACCTCGAATAATTAGCTTCTGTGTTGTATGCCGGAGAGCACAGTCCGTGTATTTACACATCGGCGGGGGGACAAATTATTCAATAACTTTGTTGAAAATGCATATTTTCTCATGATTCAAAGTTCATGTGAGAGAGAAATTCTGCTGTTATCATACCCTGTGAATTGAGTCACGCTTGACTCTTTTGGCCATATCGGAACATGGGTCAAACTTTTTGCTCCCGGTCAATTTTGACCTCGCCAGGAATTTTTTCCTATTTTTTTTTTGTATTGCACTAATTTACTCAAAATTGATTATGGGTCCTCATAAGGTCCTTCGTCATCCCTGAAATTTATATACCCTAATTTTTTTTAATTTTCATTCAATCTTTGTTTATTGAATCCCAATTTTTGGCTGTTTTTGGAGCGTGGGGAAATTTTGTGAACAACCATCAATTAAAAATGTATACATGATCCGATTTGTTTCTATGATACATCATTTGAAAGCTAAGAAGGTCTACTTTTCGATTGTGCAATTACTTTGATAGACGAAGTCGTCCATTTTTCAATAAAATTAGAAAAAGCGGGGCCAAGGAAAAAACGCACTTTTTTTTCGGTGTTTTTTTTTCTCCGTGCTATTCATTTCTAACATTTTAACACCTTAACTAGTGTAACGGGGGAATACCCACCTTTCCATCGATGTATATAAGTCATACCTTTGATATCCCGGGAAAAAACCAGTATATCTAAATGTACACGCTATAATTTATTACTTTCGTTCCTCCGTCGTTCGCCGCGTGTGTGCTCTACGTGGCGCTCGGGTCGTCTGCTACAAACCATGCGGCCACGCAGGGTATGATAGCAGCAGAATTCCTCTTTCACATGAACTTTGAATCATGAGAAAATATGCATTTTTAACAAAGTTATTGAATAATTTGTCCCCTCGCCGATGTGTAAATACGCGGACTGTGCTCTCCGGCATACAACAGATGCTCATTATTCGAGGTGCGCTTCGTGCCGTTTTTCTCGAAACCGGGCAAATTTTCGAGAAAATTGACAAGGACCATTTTTGTCGAAAATTAACTGAACTTCAATTTTTATCTGAACCGAAAATCTCTAACTGCCATATTTTAGGAGATATTGGCTGAAAACCTATTTTCCTGGTCTTTTGGAGCCATTTTCTCCGCCATCGCACGCGTTTTCCAGTCAAACTTTGTCTCATGTTTAATGAGGTACCAAAAGCTACTTCCAACCGGAAGATGAAAATAGTGCGTAATTAACGGTAACTTTGCCTTTTTTTCATCCTTCATTTATTGGACTATTTGAGGTTTTTGTATTTATCAAACAAAAGGTATTCCGAAGATGAATAAAAAATGTTTTCAGTTCGAGAGTGTATGAACTGTATCCCAACAAATTTTTGACGCTGGACGAATCTCGAGTATACGTTCTGAATACCCTTTTCAACTTGCCAGAATCCTACCTGTTGGCGTGTTTGGTGGATTTTTTCACGAATTCCAAAGACTATACGATAACCGATACAGGAGTCAAATGCGGTGAACTTCTCATGTCATACAAATCCATATTTCAAGTGAGTATTTCTGTATGTGAATCATCACTCGTTTAAAATGAAAAATTATCAATGTCCTTTATGAAAACCAATATTGAAGATATCACGATTGAAGCAAAACAAAAAAGCAGGAGTCTTCACAGTTTTTAATCAATACTTTGATGTTTCATTGTATGAAAGATGTTTTGGACCTACACATGGGTCCATCATCAGCTTGAAAGTATCTCATGTTATGGAGGGGTGAAAATTATTGAGTCAATACCAACTCATACCCTTCAATATGCATCAATCATAACATAAAAAATAAGGGTGTCTCCTTATATTTTGATCCCTACTCACAGCTTCAACTATACGAGGTGGAAAAAATCTTCAAAGATAAAAATTGTAGGGTTTCATCTGTACTATCTTTTGGCACTCAACTAACAAATGCGAATTACAAAAAGGAAAAAAAGAGTCCAAATCAGTTTTTTTTTAAATCCAACATCCTGTATATTTTCAGCTCTAGTGAAAGCTCTTTTTCTTTTGACTCAAAGAGAGAGGAAAACTGTTGATTGAAAGTTGTGGAATAGTATATTGTGCAGCAAGTTGGGAAAAAGTACTTTTCCCACATGTTGCACACTATACTTTTTCTACAACTGCACACATTTAAAGAACACATGTAATGTAAGATTGAATATTGTGACCAAAGAATAGACGCCTTTCCTAGTTCCTCAAAGTTTACCAAAAAAGCACACTGCGAAAAAGATTTCATTTTTGAATTATTTCTACATTCCATTAATTTTTCGTTTGCCAATTCATACTTTTTTCTTGAAATTTCCGTCAACAAATCTAACTTTTGCAGTTTTTTCCAATATCTCTGGCGGTGTATTATCAAAATCGTCACTACTCTCAGTGTATTCATATTTTTTATTATGAGTTGTTGGAATAATATGTAATGGATATTGCGCTTCGAATCAAAGCACTAATGAAAAATTCCCTAAGAATTTAAAAAACTTCTGCTGACAGTTGTGACAACTATTCACAGCTGAACTGCAGCCAACTATGTTTTGGTCGATTTTTGTTGATTCTCCATGGAAGTGTATGTGGTGCTGGCAAAGTGCCGTGAGAAAAAATATTTGTCTGTAAGCTATGAGAAATACGTTACTTTTCATAGCAGTTGTAGAAAAACGACTTTGTGTTGATTGTTTTTGAAGGACATTGATTGATTGACACAATGGAATTGATTTTTTCGTCGACCTCAACAAAAAATCACATTTTGCGTTCTAATTTCTGAATGAAAAACACACTATTTCCACAGACAAGTACTTTTCGTCCGCAGACAATAACTTGTCGTCCACAAACACTTTTCGTCCGATGCAGGGTTGCCAGTTCTACTGAGTTTTCAGTATATTTCCTGATATGCATGAAACATTCATTCATATTCTTTATTATAATTACCTATATTATTATCAATCTTTAATTAATCACAGACACTTATAAATTGCATGATATTTCGGCACGCTCTGTTTAAATTAATTTCACAAAATAATAAGTAATAATTGTACTTATGTAGGTAATAATAATATGTATAAACCAAAAGAGGACAATATCTGATCTGATTCAGATCAAATTCAATTTGTATATATCTGTTATAACAGTTTGTCCCATAAGTCTTAAGTCTAATTTTTTTATTTGTTTTGTATTTTTGTTGTTCATTTTTACTATTTGTTCCTGTTTTTTACTCAAATCAAGTACCTATGTATTTTGTGATATTTGTGAGTATTTTCGAATTGAGAATCAGGAATATGATTATTTTTTCATGAGAATGTTTGCTTTGTTTGTTTCTATTTCGTTGGAAATATGTTACTTTTCTGTTTACTGAAAGTACATAATGTCTTGACGTCATAGGCTTATTTCATTTTTCTTTCTTGGAATTCGTATATCATAAAATAGATCTCAAACAGGTCTGGAATAAAAATCGAACTGGCAAACTCGACTATAATAGACAGAGTTTCGTCCTGTTTATTAAAAGTACATGATGTTTTGACGTCATAGGTTTATTTCATTATCCTTTCTTGGGATTCGTATATCATAAAATAGATCTTAAACAGGTCTGGAATGAAAATGAAACTGGCAAACTCGACTATAACAGACAGAGTTTCGTCCTGTTTACTAAAAGTACATGATGTTTTGACGTCATAGGTTTATTTCATTATCCTTTCTTGGGATTCGTATATCATAAAATAGATCTTAAACAGGTCTGGAATGAAAATGAAACTGGCAAACTCGACTATAACAGACAGAGTTTCGTCCTGTTTACTAAAAGTACATGATGTTTTGACGTCATAGGTTTATTTCATTATCCTTTCTTGGGATTCGTATATCATAAAATAGATCTTAAACAGGTCTGGAATAAAAATTGAACTGTCAAACTCGACTATAATAGACAGACATGATGTTTTGACGTCATAGGTTTATTTCATTATCCTTTCTTGGGATTCGTATATCATAAAGTAGATCTTAAACAGGTCTGGAAGAAAAATTGAACTGGAAAACTCGACTATAATAGACAGAGTTTCGTCGTGTTTACTAAAAGTACATGATGTTTTGACGTCATAGGTTTATTTCATTATCCTTTCTTGGGATTCGTATATCATAAAATAGATCTCAAACAGGTCTGGAATGAAAATGAAACTGGCAAACTCGACTATAACAGACAGAGTTTCGTCCTGTTTACTAAAAGTACATGATGTTTTGACGTCATAGGTTTATTTCATTATCCTTTCTTGGGATTCGTATATCATAAAATAGATCTTAAACAGGTCTGGAATAAAAATTGAACTGTCAAACTCGACTATAATAGACAGACATGATGTTTTGACGTCATAGGTTTATTTCATTATCCTTTCTTGGGATTCGTATATCATAAAGTAGATCTTAAACAGGTCTGGAAGAAAAATTGAACTGGAAAACTCGACTATAATAGACAGAGTTTCGTCGTGTTTACTAAAAGTACATGATGTTTTGACGTCATAGGTTTATTTCATTATCCTTTCTTGGGATTCGTATATCATAAAATAGATCTCAAACAGGTCGGGAATAAAAATCGAACTGGTAAAGTCGACTATAATAGACAGAGTTCCGTCCTGTTTACTAAAAGTACATGATGTTTTGACGTCATAGGTTTATTTCATTATCCTTTCTTGGGATTCGTATATCATAAAATAGATCTCAAACAGGTCGGGAATAAAAATTGAACTGGAAAACTCGACTATAATAGACAGAGTTTCGTCGTGTTTACTAAAAGTACATGATGTTTTGACGTCATAGGTTTATTTCATTATCCTTTCTTGGGATTCGTATATCATAAAATAGATCTCAAACAGGTCGGGAATAAAAATCGAACTGGTAAAGTCGACTATAATAGACAGAGTTCCGTCCTGTTTACTAAAAGTACATGATGTTTTGACGTCATAGGTTTATTTCATTATCCTTTCTTGGGATTCGTATATCATAAAATAGATCTTAAACAGGTCTGGAATAAAAATCGAACTGGCAAACTCGACTATAATAGACAGAGTTTCATCCTGTTCATCAAAAGTACATGATGTTTTGACGTCATAGGTTTATTTCATTATTCCTTCTTGGGATTCGTCTATCATAAAATAGATCTAAAACAGGACTGGAATGAAAATCGAACTGGCAAACTCGACTATAATAGACAGAGTTTCGTCCTGTTTACTAAAAGTACATGATGTTTTGACGTCACAGGTTTATTTCATTATTCCTTCTTGGGATTCGTATATCATAAAATAGATCTTGAACAGGTCTGGAATGAAAATGGAACTGGCAAACTCGACTATAACAGACAGAGTTTCGTCCTGTTTACTAAAAGTACATGATGTTTTGACGTCATAGGTTTATTTCATTATCCTTTCTTGGGATTCGTATATCATAAAATAGACCTTAAACAGGTCTGGAATGAAAATGGAACTGGCAAACTCGACTATAATAGGCAGAGTTTCGTCCTGTTTGCTAAAAGTACATGATGTTCTGACGTCATAGGTTTATTTCATTATCCTTTCTTGGGATTCGTATATCATAAAATAGATCTTGAACAGGTCTGGAATGAAAATGGAACTGGCAAACTCGACTATAATAGACAAAGTTTCGTCCTGTTTACTGAAAGTACATGATGTTTTGACGTCATAGGTTTATTTCATTATTCTTTCTTGGAATTCGTATATCATAAAATAGATCTTAAACAGGTCTGGAATAAAAATTGACCTGTCAAACTCGACTATAATAGACAGACATGATGTTTTGACGTTATAGGTTTATTTCATTATCCTTTCTTGGGATTCGTATATCATAAAGTAGATCTTAAACAGGTCTGGAAGATAAATCGAACTGGAAAACTCGACTATAATAGACAGAGTTTCGTCGTGTTTACTAAAAGTACATGATGTTTTGACGTCATAGGTTTATTTCATCATACTTTCTTGGAATTCGTATAGCATTAAATAGATCTGAATCTCTGACAAAGTATTTACTGATGAAATGAAAATTGAAGTGGCAACCCTGGTCCGCGCGGAGAGTTAGTTGACAACAACTGTCAACTTGTCTAATTAAACATTCACGAAATCCGATAGATTTCACCTGTCAATTGGACCGTGATGTGGATATAAGTGTTTGAGGTCGACGAAAAAATTCAATATGCACCTCTGCGAAAAACTGTCTATTGTCTCGCCTGATTGCTAGCCTCGGCTTAGGCCTCGGCTATCAATATGCAAACTCGACTATAATAAACAGTGTTTCGTCCTTGGTACATAAATAACTATTACGTGATGTTTTAGGATGTCAGAAATGCAGTGGATTATGTCCATTTGCAAGGTGACCTGAAAAATCGTACAATTGAGAATTTGGAGAAGTACGTGAAAAAAGACGAACGTCTTCCAATGTTTTTGACTCGATTGAGGGAGAGCGGTGCAAAAACGTTCCTTCTCACCAATAGCGGCTACACTTTCTCAGACAAAATAATGACGTACCTGTTCGACTTTCCACATGGAGCAAGAGTTAGTATATTACTTGTGTTCTCTCTTTTTTTTTGTTTTCAAATTATACTCATTATGTGTATCTACAGTGTGTTCACGTGTGGTATTCAAAGTAGTTTTTCTTTCAGTTTGTCATTTTTTATCTGCTTGAATCGGACTATTTTTAGGTATACTTCGATCTAGATCAAGTTTAGGAAATGGGCACTTTGAAAAGCAAAATTGCTTCAGGTAAATTTTGATCTCTTTCGACATAACCTTCCATTTTACACTTCCTCACGACTCATCCGTGAACACACTCATATTAATAGTGAAATTGATATTTCTACAGGGTGATTGTTTATATTTTCCTCAATAGTTATCTCCGCTAATATTGGTTTTTCCGAAACTTTGGAATAGGCATAAGTGAAGTATTTTTTATGGTCATTCAGAACATACATTGTAACTCCGATTAACTTGAAATTTGGCAGGTGTTCATAATTCCGGTGACAATACATTATGGAATTTTTGTTGAAATTGAAAAAAATGGCTGCTCCAAGATGGCGGACAAGATTTGGTCCGATTCCATTCAAAATTGATAAGTGGGGGTTTTTGAGGTCGGAGATCATGCTTTTTTTGTTAAAAATTCATAAATTCAAGATGGCGGCTTCCAAATAATTTCTTGTTTTTGTATAACTGACGATAACTCCGTTGTTATCAACACAAAACTATTACTGCGACACATCATCTGTAAGAGAAAAAAAAAGTTATTTGTAACTAAGTCGTAGTGAGCTATGACCTACATTTGAAAAACTAAAGTTGGTGCTGACATCTCAAATTTTAAAAGAGTTGGTATAAATTTCATATTTTTTTCGAAATCACTTTGAAAAACTGCCATATGAATGTGAAATTCATATTTGAATATTTTCATAAATAAAGAAGTTACGGAGGAGACCTGAAAATGATCAAAATCTGTTTTTTGCGTTTAAAACAAAAACGAATAGATTTTATCAAAATATTTTTTCACATTATAGTTGGCCTTGACAAACTCCACATTTAGTGTCATTTAACCGACTTCGTATCTCTCACCGTTGAAAAGATACCCATGGTGAGCATGGTAAGTGGGACACACTGTATATACTCGAATGCTTTTTAGCATTTTTTAGTACTAGATTCTGAATGCCCATAAAAAATACTTCACTTTTGCCCATTTGAATGTTTCTGTAAGACCAATATTAACTTAGAACGTTTGTTTCTGTAAGACCAATATTAACTGAGATAGTTATTGAGTAAAATATAAACAATCATCCTACACATGTTTAGTGTAATTATCTTGAATTGAAAAGCCTTTTTGAGAGCATTTCTATCTCACCAAAACGAAAAAAAAACAAGTGAAAATTCAAAGAAATTATAAGTAGGTACTCATATTGATTTCATCATATCTAAAGTAGTATTCTGTAGCTTTGAAACCTGAAGAATGTAATGTTGTCTGTATGCTTTTAGCCAGAAGATCCCCATAGAAATTGGAAAACCTATTTTGACATCGTTGTAGTGGACGCTAGGAAACCTCTATTTTTCGGTGAAGGTAATAATATTATTGATAATTATGATTTATTATTAAAAAATTGTAGCATAAAAATACATCCCATAAATTATAGTTCACCTATTCCTGTATACTTTATTATCATGGATAGCAACAACTCAAATTGAAATTTTCATGGTGTTCAAGGTGTTTCTCAATTCAGCAACTGTGAATATACATATTTTTTTGTTTTGAAGGAACATTCAATATATTCCAATACTGTTTCGGCCCCCAGGCCTCATCAGCCGATTTCGGTTTGCTGACAGAAGTAGTCCTAAGTAACTGTACGTAAAAGTATGATAGGTTTTTGGCTCCAAAATATTACGCTCAACAATTTGTTTTGTATCCCAATTCAAGAACATTGAAAATATTGCTAAAAGTAGATTTCAAAATTTCAACTTCAGTGGTGTTCTATCAATATCACAGACATTTTGTAGCAATTGAAAAAATATCAAAATCTAAAAGATGTTGTAGATGTAGAACATTCAAATTCAAGACACATATGTAATATTGGAATATAAACAACGTTCCATTCAAAAAAACATAATTTTGATATGTCACACGTTTTTGAGACACAGTGTATAATGGAGGATAATTTGAAATATGCATCTCTTGGACCTACAACTCCTGTGAAAATGTTGTTCTTCCATCTCTGATAGCAGAGCTGCAATCTCACTTTGTCACACTATTGGTCCACCCTGTATATTAACTGAGATAGCTATTGAGTGAAACATTGTCTGCTAAATATGGAGAAAAAATCTAGTGAGCTGGAACTACTGGTCTTCCCTATAGCTCAGTTGAGTGTATTACCACTAGAGGATGTTACCATATCGGACGAAATGATCTTCACTTTTTTTCTAGAAAATTTTCGATATTTGTGGTTATATAAGTTCTCACTAGTTGTCAGTGTCAGTCTCATCGTTCCAATATTCCTTTCGTTTGTAGATATAGTTTTGTGTTGTGGTTCCAGTATTATAGTTTTATTCCAATTAATAATTTGGAAAAAAACTCAGTCTCTTTTTATTGTGCCTACCAGAAAGTGTGAAACCGTCTCCATTTATGGATTTCCAAGTGATATTCCTTTTCCTTTTTTCAAGTTACAAGATAAGATCTGTGGATAAGATTCCTCATGATTGCTTTCCTCCTATTATGGCCATATATTTGCTTATTTCTGATGAAAAACTCCACCATTTTGATTCACAGATGAGCACATCAAGTGAACTGCACAAACCATAAAATAGGAGTCACCGCTTTCCGAGCTGCTTTCACTATTTATGTTCCCATGCTTCACACCATCATTATCAGTGACGGCTCGTGCCCTCAGAACCTGGGTCGGCCAGGGTATAGATATTGCTCTAAAATGCGAACGTAACACGTTGGGTCAGCGGCTTGAGTGAAGTTCGATGGCAAATAAGCATGTACAGGGTGATTCACCATAATTGTCCCCCCCTCTAGCTCACTTTATTTTTGACCCGATTTAAAAATTGGAAGGATGATCTAAAATTATTTCTCAGAATTTTTTTTCCCGTTTCATCAGGAAATACAGGGTGCTCGGAACAAATGATCTACAGAGTACTACTCGATTTTTCCAAATGGAACACCCTGTATTTCATTGTATTTTTAGATTCTTCCTGAAGAGCTGATTTCATCAATGCATCACACTTGGGGTCTAGCGGGAATGATAACAGAGATATAGGGTGTTCAAAATCGAGATTTTTCAAGTTTAGGATTTTTTTGTCTCGAAACTATTCATTATTGGTCGAAACGGATCCTATGTTTCCATCTTAATTTTTGATTAACTGTCTATTGAGATTTGATTGGAACATTTACAGGGTGGTTCAAGATTCAGAATTCTGATCACCCTGTATCTGTTCCAATTATTAAATGTCAGTAGATAGTAAATCAAAAGTTGAGATATGGACATGAAAGCCGTTTTGACCGATGATGAATAGTTTCGTCTCAAAAAAATCCTAAAGTTGAAAAATCTCGATTTTGAACACCCTATATCTCTGTAATCATTCCCGATAGACCCCAAGTGTGATACATTGAGCAAATCAGCTTTTCAGGGAGAATCTAAAAATACAATGAAAAATAGGGTGTTCCATATAAAAAAATCAAATGGTACCCTGTAGATCGTTTGTTCTGAGCACCCTGTATTTTCTGATGTAGCGGAAAAAAACTCAATCAAAAATCATTCAAGATGATATTTCAAATTTTGAAATCGGTTCAAAAATAATTGAGCTAGAGGGGGGGACATTTATGGTGAATCACCCTGTACACATAACCAAAAAATTAAATTGTCCAGCAAGAACCACGAGGTTAGATCATTCTCGCCAGGGGAAATGGGGAAAGAAAAAGGAGGTGGATAAGGGTTAGTTGGTATGAAAAAATAATAACAAGAAAGTCGAAAAAATAAAATGAAAGAAAATAAGAATGAAATAACTCGTGAACAAAAAATATTTATATTCTGTTGAAAACGTAATGTAAACTCAAAAAAATCAACATAACCGACAACCACTCACCTAACGCGAGAAGCACAACAATGACTAATCGTCTAATCGTCAATCGGTCTACGCCATTCCTGTAACAAGCCACCCCACTGACCCCACTCCTTCGTAGTCGGCTGGCCGAGCCCGCGTGCAGGGTGCAGCCGTAGGTATAATGTTTCCCGCGATGCGATGGATGCATAAATATTATTTAGGTAGTTTATAACCGCTACATGCGTCTTTGAAAATAAATGATATTCTGGAAGTTATACATTTATTACATTTTCGTCACCAGAGCTTTTTTACGATGTTTCAACGCCTACTCAGCTCTTGGACTGCTGACATTTTTCTTGCCATATTACCTACATAGGCAGAGGCACAGTAGGTTACATTACAGCAATATTCAAATTGAATTATAACTTATTGACGCTCAGAAGCACTGAAGGAAAATTCTGATACCAATATTAGATGGATATGTTGAATTATGAATTACTGAAAAATTGCAAATTCAAAAATCACCAGTCATTTTTACTGCAACTACTGCAAGCGTAAACAAAAACATGGAAATTATTTTTCTTTTCAGTTTGTACATTTCAAATTCCAACATCAACTTACAAATAAGTATAGGAATTAAAATTATAAATACCTACAATGTAAAATGAAAATAGAATGTCAATCATGCCAATCCGTATATTAAAAATTAGGTCGGAATGGTTCGATACGGTGCACAGCGAGCGCACTGCAAACAACTGATACTGATAATTTGATAAGTACGATCGATACGTTGGACGGCCAGCAGAGCTTGGCCGCACCCAAGGTATGAGGTATGACGCGTATAAGCGAAAATTTTAACTTGAAGCGGGGAATCTGTAGGCGATGCCTGTGGCGATGCGTCGAGACAAGAAATCACCGATCGGCCGGCCGTCTGCATCAGTGTAATGAGCTACGCGAGCGTTTCAACTGAAAGCGGCGTTTTGACGATGGGATTACCAGATGTCGTAGGTCCTGAATTAGTTCGTGATTTTCGGTGTATATGCGGATGGCATACTCAAAGGTTCCATGAATGAAATTCAAATAATAGTGGCATAACAGTAGGATAATGAGCGATGAATTATGAAAACAGTTTCGGAAAATAATTTTATTCATCAAATAGTTCAGTAATTTTCCCCAAATTATTTGGTACGGCCCGGCCGACCCTGCCGTCCCTGACGAGCCGTCACTGATCATTATCATGATCAATATGCACAGAATTCCGTATTTCGTCCAGGGCTGTAAGGGCCAGTATGCCAGTAAGGGGGCTCAGTATCTCTACATTTCTGTCATATCTCCATATCTGCATGAACTATTTTTGAATTTTTGAGTGACTGAGTGACCGTGACCCGTGAATTTCGTGACTGAACTCAAACTCACTGAACAAAGTACGCCGCCGGCCGAGACTGCCGAGAGCAGAGCACCGCTGAGGGAGGCTCAACTCATTTACGATTTCCAAGGTTATGTAGATTCGACAGGAAAACAATTTAAATAAGTGTTTCCTGGAGTTGACCGTATGGCGGTACTACTGTATCGGCCACAGAACCCTGGACCAGATCATCCAGCTCAAAAGATTTTTTCTCCATATTTAGCAGACAATGGAGTGAAATATAAATGATCCCCTTGTACTCTCAGGTACGATCCTGCGCCAAGTGGACACGACGACAGGCGGCCTACGCGTCGGCGTGCATACGGGCCCCCTCCAATCCGATCACGTGTACTCGGGCGGGTCGTGCGACGTCTTCACCAAGTTCATCGGCGCCAAGGGCAAGGACGTCCTGTATGTGGGCGACCACATCTTCGGGGACATCCTCAAGAGCAAGAAGATCCGGGGGTGGCGCACCTTTTTAATCGTGCCGGAGTTGGTGAGGGAGTTGCACGTGTGGACGGACAAGTGTCAGCTGTTCGAGGAGTTGCAAGGGCTAGACGTCAAGTTGGGGGAGATGTACAAGTAAGGATTCAGTTTCAAATCAACTTCCAATAATCATAAATGGCGAACAGTTGGGTATCATGGGCATTGTTTAGTACTCGACTTACCCTAATATGGTGACGTGTTGTTGAAACAAGATTTATCAATAAGACCGATAAATAAAGGATAGCATACCAAGAATCGGACCTATTGGTCCTTCGAGCCGGATCTATTCAAATGAAACCTTCAAGACTGCCAAGCTCTTCACGAAGTATACAGAGTAGCACTCAATACTACCTGGAGTAACAGTGAATGCCAAGCAGCTGGAGCTTTCACAACAAGCAGTTCAATCGAACAGGCATGCCACCGATTTATTCAATTTATTTCATATTTCTATTACTTTTTTCATCAACAAAAGCAATCGCCAAACCAAAACAGTAATGGGCCACATTTCTACTCATTTGTGGAGTAGTGACACTGCTCAACCATATTTATTTACCAACAAATCTGGTTTAGGATTGTAATGCTGAAGAAGATTTTCAACAATTCACTAGAAATGACGAAAAATAATGAATGGAATGGCGAATGGTAGGGATAACTCTGAGGAATCATGGACAGGGAATCGAGGGCATGTTATCGATATATTTGATAAATGTAATGAAAATAAATTTGTTTATGTACGATAATGTGAGCAAAAAGATCCGGGGGTGCGCACTTTCTTGATCGTGTCGGTGTTGGTCAGGGAGTTACACGTGTGGACGGACAAGTGTCAGCTATTCGAGGAGTTGAAGGGGCTGGAATTCAAGTTGGGGGAGATATACAAGAGAAGAATAAATTTTAAATCAACTTCCAATAATCATGAAACACGTGTTGATGGAGGAAATGGCGAATAGTTGGGAATCATGGACATTGTTTTGTACTTGTAACCCTAACATGGTGACGTGTTGTTGAAACATAAGATTTATCAATAAAACCGATGAATAAAGAAGGATAGCGATCCGAATTGCCATTCTCATATCAATCATTATTTCATTCCACTATTCGCGATAGAAAATAAGCGTACGCTACCTATCGGAGTTCTTGAAAGCTGTCAGAGCGGCCTGATGTTCACTTTGTTTCCATTGGTTCGCTCTTGTTTTATGTTTGTCCTTATTGGTCATACCATCAAAACAATCCGCTCAGAAGTGTTCTAGTTGTTGCCGTCAGATGGGGCGATGTGTTATTTTCTATCGCGAATCTACCAAGATTCGGACCTATTGGTCCTTCGAGCCGGATCTATTCAAATGAAACCTTCGAGACTGCCAAGTTCTCCACGAAGGTAGCGTAAAAAACCGGGAAATTTAATGAAGGACATCGCGAAGCTTTTACAAAACATGATAGAAGTATATTCTGTAGTAGTCCATGCTCAAAGTGGAGTGGAATGATCAAGAGAGATGGTGGAGGTGGAGATGATAGAAGTATATGCCGACAATCGCCAAATACGAATCAATGAATTATCAATGAGAGGTTTTCCAAAACTGCACTCTATGACCAAGTGGGGTCATCTTCAGTGATATACACTGCTCGCCAACAGCCATGGAACCACCCCAATTTCCGGGAAATGATATTAGGAGTCAAAATAGGTTGAAAATCACTTCGGATTCGAAATCAGGACGCCTTTTCAGTTCAGAAAAATTAAATTTCGGCTCACTTCTCATGGAAACACCCCCGTATCTCACGTAATTATTGAAGTAGGGTTCTGAAATTTGCAGGAGGAAGTGAAAGTCCAAAGATGAAGTCAATTACGTAAGATACGGCGGTGCTTCCGTAAAAAGTCAGACAAAATTTAATTTTTCAGAACTGAAAATTTCCTAAGAAAAATATAAATGGTTAGTGAATTGGGCGTCCCGATTCCAAATCTGAAGTGATTTTCGACCTATTTTGACTCCTAATATCATTCTCCGGAAATTGGGGTGATTCCATGGCTGTTGGCGAGCAGTGTATATCACTGAACATGATCCCACCTGGTCATAGAGTGCATTTTTGGTATATCTCTCGCTCCAGCAAATTTCAGGATCCTTACCCAACGATTACGTAAAATACAGGGGTGTTTCCAATAGAAGTGGGTCACACTGTATATGTGTATCTGCGATTATCAACTGGCACTGTCAAAGAAGATATGAACCAACAAGTCAATACCATTCGAGTATGTGGATGTTTATAAGTCTCATCGAACACACTGAAATGATCTTTCAGTATACAATTCAAATTCCTGTCTCATATTTGATGTTTGTTATAAATACCTACCGACTGCGCCAGTTTGTTATATACCTCAAAATTGAAATTGCAGATGCATGGAACTCCTCTAAGTGATATTTTATTCATTGTTGAATATGGATTTTCATCAACAGTGGTCTATATTAATCATCAAAAATACTAAAATGGCTTTCTTTTTTTTCCAGAAATTTAGACAGTAGCACGAAAGAAAAGCCGGACATATCGAAATTGAGGGCCGCCATCAGAGATGTAACACACAAAATGGACATGTCCTATGGTATGTTGGGAAGTCTCTTCAGGTCCGGATCGAGACAAACCTTCTTCGCTTCTCAGGTAGGTAATCATTAGGCGTTTTCGGAAACTTACTCGGGTTGATCGGATCCCTGACCTGAACGTTCGGTTACCTAAACCGAGTCACCTACCTCTGTTCGGAAACTTGGGTAATGCTAACTCGATCACTGACTCGGGTTGATTTTTCGTGACCCTACTCAAAAGCAGGGTCGCCAGAGTCACAAAGGACACCGCATGCGCATTACCAATATATGGAAATGTCAATCGAAAAACGCGGTAGTTCACAACTCCACGACAACTACAATAGTTTGCATGTTGGGAAAAGTTTCGATCGGTGATATAAATTTTCTTGATTTGGTAATGCATAGGGTAGAAGATCTGTGTGGATATGAAGTTTGTGGTGTTCAAGTTCACCAATCTCCAGACAAATACAAATATTAGTAACCATATCAAATAAGTACTTGAATATAATGTGAACATTTTCGTTAATCAAATTCACGAAACCACAGAAATAATATTAAATTCTGTGTTCCTAACCTCTGACACGTTCGAAAACGTAGAACACGAGTAGGTGATCCGAGTTTTTTGTCACGTGACCTCTCTGGATCGAGTTAACAACCCAGAGTGAGTTTCCGAAAACACCTATTCATATCGAATCATTGTTCAATGTGACCTAATTGTTGAAAGAGTAGAAATGAGTCAACGAAATTCAGATTGAGGATTAGGAAAACCTACATAATGAAATCATTGCCTTTTTTTCTGTCGAATCTGTCAACTTGTCAGTACTAATATTCAATTAACGATTTTTCTTTTATTTTTAGGTTGTGAGGTATGCGGATTTATACGCAGCAACGCACTTGAATCTCTTGTACTATCCGTTTTCGTACATGTTCAGAGCACCTGCGATGTTATTGCCGCACGAGTCGACTGTCGCACACGAACAACATTTCGCCACTGAAAACGCCAACAACATGATTCTAGCAAACGAAGTTGACAGTAGGGAGAAAAAGGTTTGTTCTGAAATTCACTTATTTTATTGTCATTTTCTTTTCCTTTGCTCTCTTCATCGATTTCTAGTTCGACAATCCGTCACTGCTGAACAATAACATTTTCGGCGACTTTTCGAATGAACAAAGCTCTATCAATTATACATGGTATTCTTGGGGGTGAGGCATTTTTTTCAACAGAATATAGAACTTATAAAACAATAATTTCACCGAGAATTGACCAAATGAAAATTGCAAAATAACAAATTTCAAATACCCAGCGACAGTAAAATTGTTCGAAAATATCACCAATTGTCTGATGTGCGCACAGTCTTACTCGTATTCTATTCGCTCTCTCAATTCTTCCTCCATCACGATACACCAAGTTTCTCAAATGGCTCCCAAAGGAAGAAATCTCAAGGATTCAGGTTCAGGGGGCGTGTACGCCAAGAAATTGCCCATTACGCAAGGATCAATTCTAGCACCAACACTATTTTTACTCCATATCCGATTTGATGGATGCAACTTCATGTCCAGTACACAGCTTCGCGGATGCTAGTACCCTCCACACCTCCTTCTCTTCCAGGGCTCCAATACCAGCCAAGCAAATCAGAAACGAACGAGGAAGAAATGTTGACAACATAAATATGGACTATGCAACAATTCCCCAATGGGGATTCAATAACTTGGTAGATTTCAATGCAAACAAAACACAAGCATTCCTTTTCTCTAGAAAAGCCGATCTCACTGTGCCCAACATGAGATTGTCAGGAGTAACCATACCTTTGAGGACATCCATTTCCATGCTTGGTATTACTATCAGCAATAACCTTCCTTGGGAAAATCACGTGAGATCAATTGCTAAAAGTGCATCCCAAAAACTTGGTTTTCAGTTTCGGGCCAGGAGCTATTTTACTTCCAGTCAGCTGCTTATGATCTATAAGGCACTGATCCGACCTGTCCTGGAATACTGTTCCCATATTTGGAGTGCACCACCCAAACATACCCTGAAACTGTTGGATTCTGTCCAAAAAAGGGAAATTCGTCTCGTGGGTGATGCCTCGCTCACAAACTCACTCACTTCTCTCGAACACCGTAGAAAAGTTGGCGATCTAGCTCTATTTTATAGATATTGTCATGGAAGATGCTCTTCTGAAATATCAACAATTGTTCCTCTCTTGGCAGTCCCCGCGAGATTAACCCGTCGAGTTGAGGCTTTGCACCCCTTTGTGGTCACTTTGGAGACCTGCAGAACATCTCTTTCCAAAGACTCGTTCATCCAACGAACAGCGAGGCTCTGAAACACATTGTCAAGGGAGGTATTCCCCGAGGCATATAACCTCCAGAAATTCAATAAGAACATCAATCCCTACCGTATTTCCCTTGGTTCTCACGATGTTCTCTGAACATAACAGGATATCCCTTTTCGTGGGAACCAATATAAATTGAAAAAAATCCCCCTATTCCACTCCTCTTCTGAAATGTTTAGGAGCTCCATGGTGTAGAAATCACAATTGCCTATCTCACATTCAAAGTCACATCTTCAAGTTATTCGGCGATTTATTTCGTAAAGATTCTATACAATTTTCATCTGACATTCAGGGTGGAAGTAAGAATGGCCCGAAAAGGATGCCATTGACAAGCCCAAATCAAACATTCAATGAAAATCTTTGCTTGAAATGTGTTCCAAGTACAGAGTGGTCTTTTTCTGTTGCCCAAATATGGAAATTATGAAAATTAATTACCCCAGTTGATGTAAATGTGGCTTCTCTTGAAGCCAACATGAATTTGCTAAATTGTCCGCTGCTGATTTAGAAACCACAGACAAAATTCTAGTCTCACAGGACGATTTTGAGTTTGTTATGCTTTTAATCTTTCATATTGGTATGGAAAGAATTGTTCCTGTTAAAAAACTTCAGAAACGAGTTCACAAAATTCTTTATCACATGACATGTTTCTCTAACACAGTAGCTTCTTCAGGTGAAATACTATGAATTCTACACCCTCTCGTAAAATGTCTCACATTCAAGACCCTTTATGATATTGGAAATAATTGATCTCCTGAAGAACATTCGAATTCTTGTCTCAATTTTGATGTTTATGATGCAGTATTGCAGTAATGCATCTTTTTTCAGAAATCTTATTGAATTCAAATTGCAGATGCCATCAAAATTATGTGGATGATAGTTTCTTTGTTATTGATGATAGTATTTTATTTCCAGATTCTATTCGCGGTTTTCAAGGTCATTAGATGACGTTGCGATGACATTCAGCAATAGAGAAAACTACGACAAAACATGTCCAACTTTCAATATATGCCAGGAGTTAGGAATATTTTTCCTATTGTTGAAATCATTGCAACGTCAGATGATGACCTTGAAAACTGCGAATAACAATAATTTTCATAGTGTATTTTGATTTTCATTAAAGTCGTGCATGTAATCACTTCTGAGCAATAAAAATACTGAAATGGACAAAAAAGAAATTCGAATTAACTTTTATCTATCACATTTCTCTGTATTTTTTCTCTGGATCCACTTGAACTTTGTCAACCCCTAACTTTGAATACTATTTTATATCAATCGAGTTCTGCTGGATTTTGATTCTTTGTATCATAATTTGGAGTTGGAAAAAAACTAAATTTCTAAAAGAACAGTCCTACCGACTGCGCCAGTTTGTTTGAAATTCTAAGAATGTGTTTCTTTGAATAAAGTATCTTTTTGATTGATTGATTGATATCATTATTTGGTAATTGTAGTTTCTGGAAAGGGCTCAAAGCCAAATCCCGCACGTGAGACCGGCAACGCCGCAAACGGTGACGCACACCCACGACGAAGACTTTTCTGATGACGACAGCGACGATAAGCAGGCGAAATTGGCCGGGAGTAACGAAGATGTCGCCGTTCGAATAGTGTCTTAGGGTAGTTCGTCGTAAGCCCTCGGAAAAAACCACACTCGAGTGAAAAAATTAAACTCGTGATTTTTAGGGTGTCAGTAACTTTCAAGTTATGGGTTATTGTGGGAAAATGGTATACAGACATTACCTGTCAATACACTTTTTCAATTGAAGTATGAACTGTATACTATTTTTTTTTTCAATAAGTGTGGTTAGAGATGGGTTTATGATTATTTTTCAAGCAATATCGAATCTTGAATCTGAAAATCGTTTGTTCATTTTGAATAAAAACAAATTTAAGATTCAAAGTTGATAGTAATTATTATTATTATTATGGATAGCACAATGGAACTATTCGGATGGAGCAGAAATTATTGTAGCTGTTAGGTAACATATTGCTCACGAGATTTTGATGATGTTTGTGATGTTTTTTAAAAATATTCGATATTTTATATGTTATTACTAATTCGGTAGTGCTCTTTTTGTTATTTTATAAAAGTTTATTTATTTGTTCAATAAATGACCAAAAAAGGTTGTAATATATTTGTTGATACAATCATGTGAGTTGTTTTATTGTCTTTCAATGAATCCTATAACACCCATTGATGACGTTAGTCACTTTCTCCTCCTGGGACGAAAAACTCCTTTTACTGGAGTCCGTCATGTCAAATTTGAAAGTTTTGCGATAATTTTGAATTTTTTAGTCGAAAAATGAACAAAAAACACTTCTGCTCTCCTCATACTACTTAGATTTTGCACAAAAAATCTTAATTTCCCTCTGATCGACATCAAAACTTCATACCTCCAATACACTTCTATGCTCCTGATACCCACATTTAGATTTCGCTTCAAAAACCGGAATTTTCGTGATCAAGAAAGCAAATTTCGGTCCTAAATTCATGAAATATCAAATACCTCTCCTACACAATTCTGCGCTCCTGATGCCATACTTTCAGTTCTGTCTTAAAAATCGGAATTTCCCTCTTTGAACCCAAATTTATACCTCCTACACACTTCTATGCTCCTGATACCCACACCTAGATTTCGCCTCAATAATCGGAATTTTCGTTATCGAGAGCAAACATTCTGATTCTTGAACCACCCAGTATCTGTTCCGATTAGTGAGATACAATGAGCCACTAGGTCTAAGTGTCGTCGGAGACATCGGTCAGACGAGCCTAGAAACGGGGTGGAGTGTTTAGTGTCAGAGTCAGGGGACTCCCACACTATAAAATGGGGGATTAGACCCATATGATGTCCATGAAGGATTTCAACCACCTCGACAAAAAAACTTCTGTACCCCTGATACCTACTTTCAGATTTTGCCTAGAAAATTGGAATTTCTCTATTCAAAACCAAGTTTTAACAATTTTCGTGATAGAGCAATTCAAATACCTCCTACACACTTCTGCGCTCCTAATACCCACTTTCAGATTTTGCCTCAAAAATCGGAATTTTCGATCTCGAAAATTGCGGTACTACTTGATGAAATCAAATACCTCCTGCACACTTCTGCGCTCCTGATACTTACTTTCAGATTTTGCGTTAAGAATCGTAATTTTCGAGATAATTCTGGTTCTACTTGATGAAATGAAATACCTCCTGCACACTTCTGCGCTCCTGATACCTATACTTTCAGATTTTGCCTTAAAAATCGGAATTTTCGGTCTCGAAAATTGCGGTTCTACTTGATGAAATCAAATACCTCCTGCACACTTCTGCGCTCCTGATACCTACTTTCAGATTTTGCGTCAAAAATCGGAATTTCCGAGATCGAAAGTTCTGGTTCTACTTGATGAAACGAAATACCTCCTGCACACTTCTGCGCTCCTGATACTTACCTTCAGATTTTGCACTAAGAATCGTAATTTTCGAGATAATTCTGGTTCTACTTGATGAAATGAAATACCTCCTGCACACTTCTGCGCTCCTGATACCTATACTTTCAGATTTTGCCTTAAAAATTGGATTTCGATCACGAAAATTGCGGTTCAACTTGATGAAATCAAAAATACCTCCTGCACACTTCTGCGCTCCTGATACCTACTCTCAGATTTTGTCTTAGAAATCGTGATTTTCTAGATAAAAAATTCCGGTTTTACTTGATGAAATCGAATACCTCCTGCACACTTCTGCGCTCCTGATACCTACTTTCAGATTTTGCGTCAAAAATCGGAATTTCCGAGATCGAAAGTTCTGGTTCTACTTGATGAAACGAAATACCTCCTGCACACTTCTGCGCTCCTGATACTTACCTTCAGATTTTGCACTAAGAATCGTAATTTTCGAGATAATTCTGGTTCTACTTGATGAAATGAAATACCTCCTGCACACTTCTGCGCTCCTGATACCTATACTTTCAGATTTTGCCTTAAAAATTGGATTTCGATCACGAAAATTGCGGTTCAACTTGATGAAATCAAAAATACCTCCTGCACACTTCTGCGCTCCTGATACCTACTCTCAGATTTTGTCTTAGAAATCGTGATTTTCTAGATAAAAAATTCCGGTTTTACTTGATGAAATCGAATACCTCCTGCACACTTCTGCGCTCCTGATACCTACTTTCAGATTTTGCGTCAAAAATCGGAATTTCCGAGATCGAAAGTTCTGGTTCTACTTGATGAAACGAAATACCTCCTGCACACTTCTGCGCTCCTGATACTTACCTTCAGATTTTGCACTAAGAATCGTAATTTTCGAGATAATTCTGGTTCTACTTGATGAAATGAAATACCTCCTGCACACTTCTGCGCTCCTGATACCTATACTTTCAGATTTTGCCTTAAAAATTGGATTTCGATCACGAAAATTGCGGTTCAACTTGATGAAATCAAAAATACCTCCTGCACACTTCTGCGCTCCTGATACCTACTCTCAGATTTTGTCTTAGAAATCGTGATTTTCTAGATAAAAAATTCCGGTTTTACTTGATGAAATCGAATACCTCCTGCACACTTCTGCGCTCCTGATACCTACTTACAGATTTTGCGTCAAAAATCGGAATTTCCGAGATCGAAAGTTCTGGTTCTACTTGATGAAACGAAATACCTCCTGCACACTTCTGCGCTCCTGATACTTACCTTCAGATTTTGCACTAAGAATCGTAATTTTCGAGATAATTCTGGTTCTACTTGATGAAATGAAATACCTCCTGCACACTTCTGCGCTCCTGATACCTATACTTTCAGATTTTGCCTTAAAAATTGGATTTCGATCACGAAAATTGCGGTTCAACTTGATGAAATCAAAAATACCTCCTGCACACTTCTGCGCTCCTGATACCTACTCTCAGATTTTGTCTTAGAAATCGTGATTTTCTAGATAAAAAATTCCGGTTTTACTTGATGAAATCGAATACCTCCTGCACACTTCTGCGCTCCTGATACCTACTTTCAGATTTTGCGTCAAAAATCGGAATTTCCGAGATCGAAAGTTCTGGTTCTACTTGATGAAACGAAATACCTCCTGCACACTTCTGCGCTCCTGATACTTACCTTCAGATTTTGCACTAAGAATCGTAATTTTCGAGATAATTCTGGTTCTACTTGATGAAATGAAATACCTCCTGCACACTTCTGCGCTCCTGATACCTATACTTTCAGATTTTGCCTTAAAAATTGGATTTCGATCACGAAAATTGCGGTTCAACTTGATGAAATCAAAAATACCTCCTGCACACTTCTGCGCTCCTGATACCTACTCTCAGATTTTGTCTTAGAAATCGGAATTTTCGAGATCAAAAATTCCGGTTTTACTAGATGAAATCGAATACCTCCTGCACACTTCTGCGCTCCTGATACTTACCTTCAGATTTTGCGTTAAGAATCGTAATTTTCGAGATAATTCTGGTTCTACTTGGTGGAATGAAATACCTCCTGCACACTTCTGCGCTCCTGATACCTACTTTCAGATTTTGCGTCAAAAATCGGAATTTCCAAGATTGAAAGTTCCGGTTTTACTACATACCTATACTTTCAGATTTTGCCTTAAAAATTGGATTTCGATCACGAATATTGCGCTTCAACTTGATGTAATCGAATACCTCCTGCACCCTTCTGCGCTCCTGATACCTACTTTCGGATTTTGCGTTGAGAATCGTAATTTTCGAGATAATTCTGGTTCTACTTGGTGGAATGAAATACCTCCTGCACACTTCTGCGCTCCTGATACCTACTTTCAGATTTTGCGTCAAAAATCGGAATTTCCGAGATCGAAAGTTCCGGTTTTACTAGATGAAATCGAATACCTCCTGCACACTTCTGCGCTCCTGATACTTACCTTCAGATTTTGCGTTAAGAATCGTAATTTTCGAGATAATTCTGGTTCTACTTGATGACATGAAATACCTCCTGCACACTTCTGCGCTCCTGATACCTACTTTCAGATTTTGCGTCAAAAATCGGAATTTCCGAGATCGAAAGTTCCGGTTTTACTAGATGAAATCGAATACCTCCTGCACACTTCTGCGCTCCTGATACTTACCTTCAGATTTTGCGTTAAGAATCGTAATTTTCGAGATAATTCTGGTTCTACTTGATGAAATGAAATACCTCCTGCACACTTCTGCGCTCCTGATATACCTACTTTCAGATTTTGCGTCAAAAATCGGAATTTCCAAGATCGAAAGTTCCGGTTTTACTACATACCTATACTTTCAGATTTTGCCTTAAAAATTGGATTTCGATCACGAATATTGCGCTTCAACTTGATGAAATCGAATACCTCCTGCACACTTCTGCGCTCCTGATACCTACTTTCAGATTTTGCGTCAAAAATCGAAATTTCCTAAATCGAAATTTCCGGTTTTACTAGATGAAATCGAATACCTCCTGCACCCTTCTGCGCTCCTGATACCTATACTTTCGGATTTTGCGTTCAGAATCGTAATTTTCGAGATAATTCTGGTTCTACTTGGTGGAATGAAATACCTCCTGCACACTTCTGCGCTCCTGATACCTACTTTCAGATTTTGCGTCAAAAATCGGAATTTCCGAGATCGAAAGTTCCGGTTTTACTAGATGAAATCGAATACCTCCTGCACCCTTCTGCGCTCCTGATACCTACTTTCGGATTTTGCGTTAAGAATCGTAATTTTCGAGATAATTCTGGTTCTACTTGATGAAATGAAATACCTCCTGCACACTTCTGCGCTCCTGATACCTACTTTCAGATTTTGCGTCAAAAATCGGAATTTCCAAGATCGAAAGTTCCGGTTTTACTACATACCTATACTTTCAGATTTTGCCTTAAAAATTGGATTTCGATCACGAAAATTGCGCTTCAACTTGATGAAATCGAATACCTCCTGCACACTTCTGCGCTCCTGATACCTACTTTCAGATTTTGCGTCAAAAATCGAAATTTCCTAAATCGAAATTTCCGGTTTTACTAGATGAAATCGAATACCTCCTGCACACTTCTGCGCTCCTGATACTTACCTTCAGATTTTGCGTTAAGAATCGTAATTTTCGAGATAATTCTGGTTCTACTTGATAGCATGAAATACCTCCTGCACATTTCTGCGCTCCTGATACCTACTCTCAGATTTCACTTCA